AGCCACTTAGATCATATACTTAGATCTAAGATTAGCCAGTAAGTTGGTAACTAATTATTAAACTATCAACTACATGTTTACATAGGTATTAGTGTATTACCGTCTACCATAGATTTTTGTACAATCTATGTGATACTAGTATACTATTACTATTACTATATAGTACAGTCATAATTTCAAATTAGCCACAGAACTGTTATGCATTGCAATATTTTTTCTTAATGTTTGTCGACAAATAATAATTTATATTTTACAAATTACAATTTATATTTCACATTATCTAATATAATATTGAATATATCGCTAACAAAAAAATAATATTTTGTCAAATCGTATAGTTACCGATACGGTGAAACTTATTTTAAGTCTCTCAAAGACAGTAGAAGTAAAAGATTTTTTGTTTTGATTTACTATTTAATTGTTACATTATTTGCCATGGATCATGAAGATTTTACAGACCCACGAAAAATTAACTTTCAAAACAACCGGGTAATAATTTTATTATTATAATCTATAATCTATAATTTGTAAAATTAATAAGTAGTTAAACATTCATTTCAGACATGTTTGTACCTACATGTATTTATAATTTTAATATAATTTAAATTTAAAGCTAGAAAATACCTAATAAGTTATTTGTATGATATCAAAATGTGTTACTACCTAATATTTATACATTTTTTTCTAAATTATAATTTTTGCATGACATGTGTTATAGATTTATTATAGTCTATAGAGATTTCTATACATGTATGTACTATACTTACCCAGGCTCCCCACATCATATTTTTGGCCCTGATACAGAACTAAATCTGGGCTCCTCTTAAATAAGAATTAATTTAGAAACAATTTTTTATCTATATTGAAGTAATTATTTGCATGAACGCCGGGCTCCAGTAACATGGTACTTCTGACTCCTCCCCCTTGCGCTTACCTATTTTAATATGGATATGGGAGAAATAATTTTTAGTTTTTACTGTTTTACCATCTACCGGACAAACCGCATGTCCATATAAATGGATATTTCTATTTTTACATTTTAATTTTAATTTAATATTATTAAAATACGTTCTATGCCATGGTCGATAGGTAGCCGACAATATTATGTTCACTTTGATAGCTTATAATTTTTCAGGCGATGAAATAATGTTTTGAAATGTTTTGTTGGCGATCAGGGTTCCTTCTCAAGAATCAAAAGACATAATTTATTTTTGTTTGCAATTAAATGTTTCCCATGGATTAAGTTGTTTCCATCTTAGTATCTAACTAAAAATGTTCAGTATATTTTATTATACCACTATGAATAAATACTAAATAGTATTATAATCTATAACATTCTTTAAACTTTTTATTTGTAGTTATAATTCTATTGCACAGACATAAATTGCAATTTTTATTTTTTTTTAACATTTTCTTTAGTAACTTTTTATAATTCTTGTTGATTAAAAAAACTATAAACTAAAATTTGAACTAGTTCATTTTTTAAAAGAACTTTCCCATCACTGATATAATTACAGTATAACAAATCCAACCACCCAATGTAAACTAGATCTTAGTTGTGCTCTTAGTAAATTGTTTCATAATCAATTTTTAGTTATTAATTATTTAATTATGTTTTTTCCATTTGATTTTTCTTTCTGTAAATTACTTAAGTTCCGACTTAAGTTTAAAGTTATGGATTTATGAGTTATTGATTTTCTTAAATAATGTTAACCATATACCAACATATTAGTAAAAACTAAAAGTAAACCACTTGACACTTGAAAGGGTTCATACATATACTAGTTATAACTTACTCTATGAAACCTTTTAGTTTAACACTGATCAAATTACTTGGACACTCTATTTTAATGTAACTTAAGGCTGACATTTTAATGGAATTCCTCAAATTACACTTTTTTACACAAAAGCGATGTAAATTTTCATATGCTTTGACTGTCACAACTGTGCATGAAACTAATGTTCTATCAATTAGTAAGAATAAAAATATTTAAAGATGTCTTGTTAGTGAAAATTGGGTTTTCCTTCTTATAATACTCAGGTGGAGGTGTTCATGATGAAAGATCTAATGAAGACAAATCATACAAATATTCTCATCTTTATTATGCTGTTAATAGAGATTTCACAAAGTTCAAATCACAGGTAACTTGAGTAATTAGTACATTATCTAAATATTCAACAATTAAGATTGATCAAGATACTTACGTTAGTAATTTATAGAAATATAGATTTAATATTTAGAATGTATACCTATACTGAATTCATTTATTTTTGCTATATTTATCTATACAATTTAGAAATATTGCTTTATTTGAAATATTTTAGGAGTTAAAATTATCTAAAATTATACTTTAATTAATATGCAACTAACAATTACAATATATTGTAGAGATAAGACATTCAAGTAGTAAGTGATTTAATAGCTTGTTTTTCTATGCCTTATTAATAACATATTTATTTACTAGTCCAGTTCCCAAGCTATATGAAATTGAGGATTGACTACCTCCATACTAACATTTTATAACTCATTTACATTCAGCAATTGCTGCAGCTCCCTGCAGTGCTTTTATTAGTTCCCAAAATGATTCAGTGGCATCTTTGTAGGCAGTGAGAGTTTACATTTTCTTGATAATTGAGAATTGTGTGCAGTGTTTAGGCTGCTGATTGCGTTGCCCAATTTACTGCTCTTGACACGAACAACAGATAGGGAGAATACTAGGAGCACGGTCAGCGCGAGTGACATGTTAACATACTCGTGCTGCCTGCTTTCGTGCTCATTTTCCTGCTAACTGCTATGGAAATGGGCTAAATGTAAGCTAGGTATTATATTAATTATTCATACTACCTTTCTTCTATAATATATAAAGGTATAGTAATATATAACATAAATTTTGTTATTCTGATATTAAATATTTACAAGACTCAATGTATGTAATATTCAAACAAAACTAAATTAAAATGACTCCAGTGCTAATAGTCCAATTGTGATTTTGTTTCAGTTATGTTATGTTGGCCAAGATGTTACAAGTATTCCAGAAATACTGGGTAAAATGTATGGATCCAAAGTTAGGTCTTTGGATCTGASCTTCAATAGTTTGACTACTCTGAATCATTCAGAGCTATTTCCTGATTTAGAAGAGCTCGTTTTAGATAACAATAATCTAGATGATACTGTTAAATTACCTTATTTACCACATTTACATATACTCTCAATGAACAATAATAAAGTAATATTTCAATTTTTACATAATTTAAATAGTGTACTGAGTATTAAAATAAAAATAATTATGCTTGTTTAGATAACGGTCTTAGAAAACTTGGTTACCCAAATAAAATATAATATGCCTTCTTTAAGATTTCTCAGTTTGATTGGAAACAAAGCTTGCCCAACACAGCTAATAGATTTTGAAAAAGATGAAAACGATTATAAAAGATATAGGTTTAAAAATATTTTATTTGTTATGATAAAGTAGATAACAGGTTGATCCATAATTGGTATAGTCATTATTTATTTTTTCTTTAGGTATTTTGTTTTACATTATTTGCCAGAACTGAGATTTCTTGATTCAAGACCAGTTACTGATGAAGAACTTGATACTGCATTAACTAAAGGCGAATTCACCAAAATTATACGCCCAGTAAGTATGGTAAATAGAGAAAATACTCCTAGTAATTGCTAATTTTACATTTCGGTCTTATACATATAAATAGGTATTTTATGATAAGTATGAAAATTAATGAATATACAAAACATCCGATTATAGATTTTCAAATTATTTATATTATGTAGACATAATTACTAATATACATATCCTATTATGTAATTTAAAGCTGGTGTTTCAAATACTAAAGTTGTACATGCATCTTAATTTAAAATTCTTAACTATAAAATGTAGTTATGGTGCTCTGCAAAGCCTTCCAATACCAAAACGCTTTAGGCATTTCAATCTATCTGCCTACGACTAGTAATGCCTTCTCCTTGGTAGTTCAGAAACAATAGTTAATAATCTGTTAAAAAACTTAAAAATTCCTACCCTAGTCAATTAGAAAAATTATATTATTTTAAATTTTATGTTAACTTAAACTCTCACAGTTATCCATCCATTAATCAAACAACTATCCTCCATCTCACCTCCTGGTAATGTACATAAAATACTCAAAAGTTTGTGACCTAGATACCTACTAATGTATATATACAATGTTACCTTAAGAGTACCAGTTTAGGTGGCATCGCTAAGTGGCTGTCAAACGAATCTCCTGTCACTAACCAGTAACCATTATTAACCACCAAATTTACTTATTAAACTAATTTAATTGTTTAGATTGTAAATAATTATAATACAAATAAAAAATAAAAGTTTAAAATTAATAAAAAAGTATATTGTAATATTATATTACACAGTAATATATTATTTTATTTTATTTTAGAGTTTTGGTAATGGACCACTTCGATTTGATTGGAAATCATCTCTTGGATCTCAATCTCGTGCAGATACTTCAAATATTTTCCCCCCACTTGCTGTATCACCAACACAAGAAATACATCATCAAGGTATTTTACTAATGACATTTTTATGCTTCATCTATTTATATGAAGTACAATTGCAATATATTTTATTTACATTTTAATTAGCTGCATATGGTCGACGTCGATACCGTTATGCTGGAAAACATTCAGAGGGCAACCGTTTTATTTTAAATAGAGATTTATAAATAATGTTAATTAAATCATAATTACAACTTACAAGATCAAAGATATTAAATATTAACATAAATAATATTAAGTTATTGACTTTCAAGACATTTATAACCTTAAGACACTTTAAAACATAAAGCGGGCTGCCTGCGCGGTCTCTGTAAAATAATACAACCGGATCACTGTCTGCCGCGGTCTGTGTACAATGAGTACCCATTAGATACGGAAACCCGCTCTCTGTTTGACTGAGCCTTTAATAATTATTATATTTCTACAGAACTATCTGTTTGGTATCCATGAGAGTTTAATTAATAATATTTTATGTAAAATGTTAGTAAACATGAGATCGAATTTATTAGAACTGCAAAAACTGAAGTATTCTTTCTTTATAGTCTATATGCCATGTATAATATTTCAATAGTAGATATATGTATGATATATGTTCATTATTCACAATTAATTGTTTTGTTGTGGTTATTTTTATCTTTTATAATACATTTTTTACCTAAGAATAATCTATGTAATTGATCTGTAATATTTTTATTTAAATATATATAATAAAATATCTAATCTTAGATTCTAGAAGAAGCAATGAATTAATTGGTTTTACAATTATGTGTTTTTTTTTTGTGTATGTATTATCACATAGTGAAACAGAAAAATGCTTAAATTATTAAAATGTGATTTTGGGTAGCAAATTGAATCTAGTTGGTACTTTGGGAAAATTACTTTAGAGGACACCACACCCATATTTGTTGTCTCAATCTTAAAAATGCTTAACATAGTACATTTTAGGTTTGAAGTGAGTTAAGAGCATTTTTATTTTACATTTTATTATATGAGCATAACTCACTTAAAAACTGAATTATCGTAAAGAATAAAGATACTTACAAAAAAACACAGATAATGTTCTTACCATCAAGTTTCATAACAGGTTTATTCACTCTAATTTTTAAGCTAACGGAATAAAACTTGAGCTGCTGAGCGTAAATTTACTATTAAGTGTTTGTAAAACTGAGACAACAAATATGGATGTGGCATCCTCTAAAAGTTAATATTTTAAACTCGATGCAGCATCAAATAAAACAGAAACATAAGGATGCCATATTTTATAACTAGTCAATTTTGACTAAATTAAGTTTGTTAACTGTTAACATAGTTACATAGTTGTTTATGGAATAGGAATAAAGATACCTAGGTGTGTAGGTAATCTAATATTAAGTGTAAATTGATTGTGGACAAAACTAGCGAGTGGCATTCAAGATTATGAACAAGGTTCATGAAATTTTTTAAAATTAATAATTAAGATGATTAGTTATTACTTATTACTGATTGTGATCACACAAGTCACAAAATTAAAACTAATTCCTAGTAGGTAGGTAGGTACTTAGTCAATTTCTACATTTTTTGTAGGGATATAATTATACATCTTTACTATACAGGAGGATGATTCACCAAGCATACTCACTCCTATATCTTTTATTCAAATATAATATATAGGTACTTGAAGAAAATATTTTTACATTATTAAGATTTTCATATTATATCTGAAGTATATCGTGGCAATTCAAATACAAACTTCTGTTTTTTAAATGAAAACCCTCCTTTTTTACAGAAAATTATTTGGTAGATAACTATTTTAAACATTTTAATGTACATAATTCAAAAATTGAACAGGTAGTTTGTCAGTTATTTATGTTTATAGTAGAGATACAGTCCTTTAAACCGATTTTACAAAAATATAAATTAGATCTAGATGTACCTAATATTGAATCTAGTATTCATTATATTAGGATTATTTTTAMAAAATATAAATAGTGGCATATTAATATTAATTATTAAAATTTTGAGATCACTAAAGGCTATAGCCACCATATTTTCCAAACCCATTATCATGGACATATTATTATCCTTAGTAACTAGTAGCTACACAAAGTTAAATAACTCTAAAACTCGTTCGATTTTTAATAAGAAATATTTGCTTAAAAAATGTATGAAGAAAAGGGGAAATTTCTCATTTAAAAAAAGAAGTTTTATCACCACAGAGTAGTAGCATACACATAATTTTGATTTGTATATTTTAGAGGGAGGCGGTGCATTCAATAATTTCCTATAATTGAACATTTCAAAATAAAAATATTGAACAAAGGAAGGAGAGGTGCCACCCTCTGTATGTATAAAAATGCTAAAAATCAAATTTTCAAAAACTGTGTCATTATAGAAAAAAAGTTGGAGGCAGGCTTGGTGAAACATATAAACATAATTTGCCGGCTTAAGATACGATCGACGAGTGCCACAGCACAGGGGTGTCAAAATCAAGGGTCTCGCGGTTGCCTGTTTAAATAATGTTTAAAAAGAATGTGAAAGGCGCTGAAATAATACTTGCACTGGACGCTGAAAAAGTTAGAGCCGGCCCTGAGTCATCATATATAGGTACCTATATAACACTTACAAATTAAATCTTGACATTTTGTACACTAATTATTTGAAATTGTACCTTGAATTGAATCTACACGGGCACCTACATGGCTTAGATAATTAGATATTAATTAAATTTGTACCTATAGTCACTTGGATATAAACACTTATAATTAATAATGTTTATATCTACTTTACGTCTATATAATTGTTTATAATATTCAAATGTTGTATATGTAATACTTATCCTCATTTTAAATCATGTTTTAATTACTATGTCCAAAGTTTATGTATCGTGTTTCCGGTCACTTGTCAACAATTTAATTAAGAACGCTGATTAGAGCGCCCTTTGTTGGCAGATAAAACTAGGACACGCACAGTCAAATGCCAGTTAGTTGCCCAAACACACTTAGGTATAATTTTCGGAGTAGCATGACAATTTATTATTAATGGCTCAGTTGTTGAATATTTCGTTTAAGAAGAACGACCTTTACTCCTCGTGGGGTTTTCAAGTATGTGGCGGAAGAGACAGTTGGCGACCATTGACCGTGAGAAATGTAAGTAAAAAAAAATCCTATTTGATTTTAAAACATACTATATTACATACATTATTTAGGTGCAAAATGGCACTTTAGCCTACAACTATTTAAGTGTCGGTGATCGAGTCTTAGAGATCGATGGCATAGACTGTTATTCATTAACCGAATCTCAGGCAATCAGTTTTCTACGTAGGCCAAGTAATTCAATTGAACTTTTGATATTAAAACGACGGGGTGAAAACGTCGTACCACCCAAAAGGTCGTCCAGTTGTAAAGCTTTACAAAATTTTGTCTTTCCAAAACATCAGAGTATATCAGAACCGTGTTCTCCACGCCACCAAATTATCAATAATAATATAGAAATCTCTGCTAATTCAGAAAACCAATTTCGAGAATTTGAAGAATCAGATAATAAATGCCTAAAACGATGTTTTGAAGAACCCAACAAAGAATTTACCTCGCTACCAATAAAAAATGAAAATGAGGTATTACAGTTTTCTAACTTCAAACCTCGAAGGAATTCGTTACAAAAAGACGGTGAACTCGTGTTTCTCAGAAGTCGGTCGAGTTCACCGCAATTCTGGAAAACAAATGTGGAAACGTCGGTCACTGGACCACCTAGTGACTGTAAAAGTTTTTGGAAAAAATTAGAAAAATGTTCAATGGAAGATTTGAGTGTCCGTCGCACTCCAAGTCCAGTAAGACCAGCGAGTGTGGCATTCTATTCTAAAACACCCGAACCTATTGTTCAGTCAAAAGCTGAAATAGTTTCAGCAAGAAAAAAGGTAATTCATATGAATTAAATCCAACCAATTTTTTTTTACTGCGAAATAAATTATTATAATTTACTTACAATTAATTGTATCTCAAATATTGATTATATGCTTACAAGGTGACTTTTAGTAACGTGTTGTTGGAGAGAAATTATTTGCAAATGGATTTACCAGATTTATCTCCTGGGTCAAGAGTTGATGAAGAATTCAATAAAATATACAACAGTTCCCGTCAGGAAGAACAGTGAGTTTTTTTAAAATCAATAACTCTAAATATTATACATATAATCTGTATATAGGCTAGATATCTATACAGTACCCACCTATAAGTATATGAATATATACAACAAATGTAGTTTTTATGAATTTGTTTAAAATATAAATTTAAGTCAAGCATATCCATTGATTTAAACTTTAAAAAAATATGTACCTCATAGAAATAATTTGTTCAGTATACGTGTCCTTGTTTTTGTCATAATATTTTATATGAATAATATTTATAAAAGAAGAATTAATCGCATCAGGTACCAGAATGTAATAAAAATCTTTTTCGAACGTAATGATTAATAATTGTTTTTAAATTTATTATTACAAAATAGATATCTTTATTCTTTATACTATCCTGCCTTTCTCTCTCAAGTGAACATGTATAGAAGTTAAATATTCTTTACAAACTTATAATTTTGTATATCATAGACTATTTTTAAACTAGTATATAATAAAGTATATAGTCCTCGTAGGCACATATTTAATTTGACATTTTGGAATAAGATAAATAGAGTAAAAATGTATATTAAAGTGATATTTATTTTATAGAAATATAAAATTTATATATTTTAATTTTTGGTATAAACAAATTGTCTTGTGTCTGTTGTCCGAAAATAGCKTTGCAAAAACTACGGTATCAGGGCCAAAATGAATATGTTAAAAATAACGCTTTTAAATACACAACCGCCTAGTAGTGGGAATTGTAGTGGAGGTGGTGGTCCATTTTGGCTATATCTTCAATGTCCAGTTGCAAGATTAGTCATTTTTATTAAAAAAAAAAAAAAAAAAAAAAATGAGAAGAAAGAATATGTTCAGTGTTAATTTAGTTTAAATTTGTTTGTCCTATTAGACATGAGTTTGGGAGTCTCCGTTCCCTGGAGGTATATATAAAGTTTGTTTGTGTTTTAAACTACATTTTTTATACTTAATCAATATTAAATTGTAATTATAATTTTTTTACTAATAATAACAAATTCCTAACGAAATTTTGTGCGATCGCTATGGATTAAATTAAAGTTAATCTATAGGTACTATATATTATGTAATGATGTGTACATAAAGAATGTCGTGTGGGTAATTGTACATATATCTACGATGCCTTATGCTCTGCAAGTTTTCAAGTTTGTTGTTTTATAATTCATGTATAGTACTATGTATAGTACATAATAATTATACAAGAAATTAATATGTTTTGTATTTGTGTGTTAAATACTAAAACGATGTATAGGTATACGATATACCACACACGCGTGATTTTGCTCAAGCATTTAATTTTAATAATTTAATACATACAATATATAAAATACATTTTAAATAAATACGTTAATAGATTTATGATTTAATCGTTGTTAACATATTTAGTTTTTGGAAGGATATCACAATACTGGATGTATACTTTAATAATTCAATCATGGTGTATCTATAAACTGTAATTGTGATAGTTCAGTTCTATTTTTACAATATACTTTGTTCACATCACATGTGAGATTGTGCCAAGTTTATATTTTATTTCATCCACATTTAAGTTGACTCTATTAACAAAAATTGATATTTAAAATAACTGTGCAAAAACGTTTTATAGGATACTATATAGGATAGAAATAAAAATTAAAAAACACAATTTATAAAATAAGTCGTATAAACATAAATTATATCTATAGTTAATATTATAATGTTGCAATATTAGCGGATTAGTTATACTATATTTAAGTATTGTGTTTATAATGTTTATATATTATATGTATAACTGTAGTATGCATTAATTATATGTTTTTTAAGTTAGTAATTCAAATCTGGAATTTGGAATCTGGAACTTTATAAGTTCAGATAGAAATATTGAATTATTTGCAAATTCATTTGATAAAAAAATCAATTTCATATAGTGTATTTTTTTGCTTAAACATGTTGAATATTTAATAATTATTAGTACGTTTTAAATTTATATTCGAAAATTAAGTTTTATGCTAATCAGTAGCATGACTAAAAACTTTTGCAGAATCGCTTATGCATAAAATTAAAATATTATAGATATACCTACTACCTAGGTGTCCACTGTTTCTATACCTACTAAAGCCTATAAGTCGTAGTATAGGTAGTCAGGTATATTTGAGTAAATATACTTTATTAAACATTTAAAATTAAGTATAAATATAATAGTTACAAAATTACGAAAAAGAAACCTTGAATATCGGCATTCTATTTATGAATTATAAAACACAATATCTTTAAACAAAAAAAACACAGTATTAGCTTTCCACATAACATAAATATTATACATAATATAATATATATTATACAAACACGCCATGATTGTAATGAATAATGATTAATAAATAAAAATGTTCTCGGCAGAAACAAATAGGGGTAGCCGAAAGTAATTTTCAGTTTTTTAGTTGGTAATTATTATTTATTTTAATTGTGTAAAAACAATTTATTCAATTTATATACTCGTCAAACAATGTTATGCTAAAAATTTTATTAAAAAAGAATATTCTGTAAAGACATTTAAATCTGATTATAATATTACACAATATACCTACAACTAATATATTTAGGTTAATTTAATAAATCTCTAGATCTTACTGATTCTATATTAGATTGTTTGCTTTATGATTTATGCAAATATTTAAATGCTGATTTTTAATGTTGTGAAGTATTAATAGAAAAATGTTTACAAAATGTAATTTTTTTCAGTTTTTGACGGTTGTAAATTGCAGCAAATTAAGATTATTATGACACACATAATTGCTACACAAGTGGCGATAATTATTGGTTTTAATTTTAACAGGAGGGGTAAATGAACAATTTTTGGAGGCTCGCTTTACGTTATAATAAGTTTGTAACAATTTTTTCGACAAAAATGAATTTGATAGTAATTAGTAGTTAGTACTAATGCCTAATAGTAAAATAAAATACTTTAATCTCAATAATATCATAAAATATATACCTAAGCTACTTATTATAATATTATAAAGTGACAGACCGTTTGCTCAGAATCGTTTTACGTATACTTTCTGGCTACCTTTTTTTTTTTTGCCAATGGTAGAAAAAGTTATGAGGAAGCTACTGTCATACATTTTAAAATTTGACGTAATATTATGTAAATGTAACGGATATGTAAAACTCAGTGAAAAATACATTTAATAGGTATAACAATACAATTTCTAACTACGTTTTCGACGTAATTTAGACATTTAAAATTATAATATTTTATATAGTTTATTGTTATTTAATGTATCATTAAAGTATGTGAATTATTATAATAATATCGATAATTATGCCTTAAGAATATATTTTATTCGTAATATTCTGGGTGATATGAAATGACCGGTGAAAGATATAAAGAAAATCAAAAGAAATGCTCCAATGAGTCATCGTCGTATGAACTTCATGGGTACATATCATATTCATGACCCTCCCACATTCCTATGCGTAAACATCCTAATAAATAACTCTTACATAACAGCTGTTCTGGACTGACTCTAAACCGATAGAAGGTATATATTAAAATATTAAAATAATATACTTACTAAATAAAGAAACAGGTTTTTGTCACTTCGTTTTCGTTGGAATTTACCTTTATTGTAATGTATAGGTACTTAAATCCTTTCCCCCATCGATACTTATTGTATAACGGTTTTGTTTTCGTCAATAACCGATTAATTTTAGGCTACGATTCGTTTATTTTTTCAATATCATATTGCTATATTATGTGTTATATTGGCAGTATAAGATAAGATCTTGGAATTTAACATTTGTTTTTTTATCGTGTATTATATGTATAAATAAAAAATAAATCGTCTTGATATTTTATGTTGATAAGCACTTGACAATACTTTTGACTAAAAATGTCAAAGCAATTCAAACATGTAATGCCGATACTTAAAATAATGTAATTTTACTTGTAGGTGCATTTTAATTTTTAATTGGAATTTTATAAAATTAGTGGTATGTTGAGGGTGTTGGACTAAAATATTTAAACATATTATGTTATACTTGGTATACTATAATATTATATGTTACGTAAATCAGTCATCAGATTATATTATGTTTTTAATTGCTTGATAGCATTACATTGTGTTTTGTAATATTTTATAGTCTCCTATACGAGCATAATATTACTCTCACATGTTTTGAACTATTGAATCTCAGCGATTATAATTAGTTTTTACTTTTTAGTATGCTAATAAATAATAATAAATATTTGATGTTAAGTTTATGTTTCAAGTATATATGGGTACTAAATTATGTTATAACTGGAAATTGAAGAAGTTTCTATTCTCAAAATTATAAGAGTATATCTAATTATATATTGTTTTAGGTTTTATCATATAATTACATAATATTAAAATATTATTAATCATTAAATTTGTATATATATTAGGTGTATACATTAAAAATTAAAATATATTAAAATATTAATATATTATATTCATAAAGTAACCGTAAATGTTTTTGTAAGTATTATGTGATGTATCATTGATTATAAATACTAAAATGTATACTATTAAGTATATACCTACATACTTATAAATTACACGCAGAAGTTGTATCTTGTTTTTTTTTCATACCGACACAGTCATATTATTTATACTCAAAATTTGATGAAGGTATTTAAACAAAATACAATTTTTATTTCATAAGCATATACAAGTATCACAAAATGCCTAAAATCGAAATTACTTCATGGCGAAATTTTGTAAATTATACCTATACGGCTGTCGGCTATAMACAAAGACTAAGTGAGTTCCAACGTGAGTTTTACATAATAATAGTTTATAAAATAGATTTTATTTTTTTGTTGATCAACTCGGATCTTTCGTGCAAATTTTAAATTTATTATGCTTAAAAAGAAAAAAATTCTAGTAGTTTTAAAAATTTCAACGGGAAAAAATATAGTTTAATAATTTTATTTAATTCTAACTCAAAGATTAAAAATAGAGTGCATGATAAATTTGAATATGTTTTAAGCTTATT